CTCGCAACTACTCGTTCTCACAGCTGAACTGTCACAGCATGAAAACATTCCCCCACTGGTGAAGCTTTAGATATCTATTTCTCTGGTGAAAGAGTGCAAAAGGAACTGAAAGAGTTATTGACAATTCATACAGTATCCCATATCCCATTAGAGTACAACTACAAGCAAAGAAAATATTTTAACTCTGAAGACAGATGGGGCAACAATGTTTTAAATGATTGTTAACTTCACTGAGTAGTACTGAAAATGTCAAGATTGTAGTCTATCAGGTCTGAAGGAGACTCAAGATTATACCAGAATCTACTTATAAGAAGTCTATTTCTTTGTCCTGTTTGCTAAGTCAAAGGTTAATGAGAAGTACATTGAAGAAAACACCTTCTGTGTTACTGCAAAGTTATTTCTCATGCAACATAAAAACGTAAATGAAAAAGTATTTTAATCTAGTTCTTCACTAACTTCCTTTAAAAAACAGCTTTATTTATGTATAATTTACATGCCATAAAATTTACTCTTTTTTGTGTGTATTCAATTCAATGATTTTTAGCAAATTTACAGAGTTGTGCAACCATCACCACAATCTAATTTTAGAACATTTCCACCATCCCAAACTATTAACTTTTTTTTTTGCTTGCTCTTCTTATTTTTTTAACATCTTTATTGGAATATAATTGCTTTACAATGTTGTGTTAGTTTCTGCTGTATAACAAAGTGTATCAGCTGTATGTATACCTATATCCCCATATCCCCTCCCTCTTGTGTCTCCCTCTCACCCTCCCTATCCCACCCCTCTAGGTGGTCACAGAGCACTGAGCTGACCTCCCTGTGCTATGTGGTTGCTTCCCACTAGCTATCTGTTTTACATTTGGTAGTGTATATATGTCCATGCCACTCTCTCACTTCTTCCCAGCTTACCCTTCACCCTCCCCATGTCCTCAGGTACATTCTCTACATCTGCATCTTTATTCCTATCCTGCCCCTAGGTTCTTCAGAACCGTTTTTTTAAAAATTAGATTGCATATATATGTGTTAGCATATGGTATTTGTTTTTCTCTTTCTGACTTACTTTACTCTGTATGACAGACTCTAGGTCCAGCCACCTCATTACAAATAGCTCAATTCGTTTCTTTTCATGGCTGAGTAATATTCCATTGTATATATGTGCCACATCTTCTTTATCCATTCATCCGACGATGGACACTTAGGTTGTTTCCATCTCCTGGCTATTGTAAATAGAGCTGCAATGAACATTTTGGTACATGACTCTTTTTGAATTATGGTTTTCTCAGGGTATATGCCCAGTAGTGGGATTGCTGGGTCAAATGGTAGTTCTATTTTTAGTCTTTCAAGGAACCTCCATACTGTTCTCCACAGTGGCTGTATCAAGTTACATTCCACCAACAGTGCAAGAGTGTTCCCTTTTCTCCACACCCTCTCCAGCATTCACTGCTTGCAGATTTTTTGATGATGGCAATTCTGACCTGTGTGAGGTGACACCTCATTGTAGTTTTGATTTGCATTTCTCTAATGATTAGTGATGTTGAGCATCCTTTCATGTGTCTGTTGGCAATCTGTACATCCTCTTTGGAGAAATGTCTATTTAGGTCTTCTGCCCATTTTTGGATTAGGTTGTTTGTTTTTTTGATATTGAGCTGCATGAGCTGCTTGTATATTTTGGAGATTAATCCTTCATCAGTTGCTTCGTTTGCAAATATTTTCTTCCATTCTGAGGGCTGTCTTTTCGTCTTGTTTATGGTTTCCTTTGCTGTGCAAAAGCTTTTAAGTTTCATTAGGTCCCATCTGTTTATTTTTGTTTTTATTTCCATTTCTCTAGGAGGTGGGTCAAAAAGGATTTTGCTATGATTTATGTCAGAGTGTTCTGCCTATGTTTTCCTCTAAGAGTTTTATAGTGTCTGGCCTTACATTTAGGCCTTTAATCCAACTTGAGTTTATTTTTGTGTATGGTGTTAGGGAATGTTCTAATTTCATTCTTTTACATGTAGTTGTCCAGTTTTCCCAGCACCACTTATAGTAACTTCTTGATCTAAGATATTTCTATCAATTCATGGAAGCCACTGGTATCTAAAGCTACTATATATTCAAAGCCACACAAATTTCTGCAACTGAGCAGGAAAAGCACAAACTAACCTCACTTTTAATGACCTTTATAACCAATCCTCTATGCTGGCACTGGGAAGAAAATGTTCAGGTGCTTTCTCTGAAAGTTAAACCATCCTAAATATTCAGTTATGGCACACAGTCTTGGAAAGAAATTAATTATATTTTTGTTGGTAACACATTTCAGGCTGTTTACACAGCTGACATTTCTCAGCTGTACCCAATTCATACCCTAAGCTGTGAGGACGATCTTATTTTGTAGCAGATGCCTCCACTTGAGTGATTTAAATAAGTATAAAAACACCATCATTGCCTGCAACAATATAGATTACAAGCACCAGCTTTATGAGTTTTTATAGTCCTAATGAAAGAAAGGTTTCATGACATTTCTTTGGCTAGAAACTCCTTAAAAGACTACAGTTATAAGCAATTTTTGCCAAAACTCAAGCACTGGAGTTAGTGGATCTGCTATGGCACCGATTAAAAGCAGCTTGGCCCTAAACATCTTTGTTGTATCTATCATGAAGCTCAAGGCAACATCCTGCCAATGTGGCAACATATGCTCTGGGGAGGTATAGGCAGGCATCACTTGACAGGTTCTGGGACAAGGTGGAAATATGAAAAATGAGGCAATAAGAATCAAGCTTCTTAATGGAGATTCCCTCTTGTGTCTGCTATGACTTATAGTACCAGGTAGCATCACAGACTTCCATATGGTAAGTTTTAGATGCTTTCCATATTTTCCCATAGTAATGAAATTGCATAGAACTCTTTGGTAAAAAATTAAATAAAGATCATTAAAATGTGAGATCATTAAAATGTGAGACAGTGCCAACTCAAGTCAATGCTTTAACAACTAAAATGTATAAGGTACTATGTTACAGAAGAATTTATTGTATTTCACTGATTTTGCCTATCACTCTTGGAACTTGCTTCTGATAAGCCTATTTCAGCCTGGTTTCTACAGGTGTGGAGCCCAAGAGCAGCTGGCATTTCCAACCCTATTAAGACCCACATCTCTGGACCTTATTACCTTAAACCAGACAATTATTTTTGCTTCAAACTTTTTATTATAGAAATTTTCAAACATACATAAAACTTGAGAGAACAGTACAAAAAAAATCAAATATACACATTACCCACCTTCAACAATGATCAACAGACAGCTAATTTGGATTTATCTATATCCCCACTCACTTCCCCAACCCCAGAGGTTATTTTGAAGCGAATCTCAGGTACCATTTCATTTACATAAACCAGTCAATTCCTGCCTGTGATCTCTTTCTGAGTTATGTTAATATTAATTATAATACTGACTCTCATTTACTGAGTGTCTACTATGAGGCAAATACTGTATATATATATATATATATTATCGCTAATCCTCATTACAGTTCTTCAGATCAGTGAGGTAACTGAAACTCAGAGAATTTAAGTGACATGCTCAATCTTAATTATTTTCTTCTATTAAAGTTATTATTTATTGTAGCAGGTTATTAGACAATGCTAAGAACATTTCTGGTTTCCTCACGTCTTCTCAGGTAAACAGAAAGCTATCATTTATGTATGTTACTCTCTTAATTTTATAAAAATAAATGTATCACATTTTCTATCAGTCTAATGGGGAAAAAACAAACTAAAAACAACAACCACATCATTACTACTTAGCCATGGACAACCAACCAATAACTCTAATGATATACTATAATGTCAATATTAAAATCAGCTGTTTATAAATAAATGTAACTGCCTATACACAAATAATTTTTTTCTGAAGGGTTCACTTAAAAAACAAATTTTGCTATCTTCTGATTATTTTTAAAGTTTCATAATCCATAAAACGTTTTTCAAAGGCACAGTGTTTAGATTGTGGAATAATTAGACTCAAGTGACATCTACATAAACAGATTGTTCAAAAATGTTTCTGTCTTCCACAAAGAATTCCTTTAGATTAAAGTATATGATGGTAGTGCTGAGAGAGCAGTAGTAATTATTATCCAGATAGAAATGTAATATTTACTAGAAAATAAGAAAAAGGTAATTAAACTCTTGGCCATAATCATTACTTGGGTATTTATTGTTAGAAGATGTTTACAAAGTCTTCACATCTTTTTAGCCCTATTTACTTTAAAAATAAGACTTACTTCAAAATTATTGAAACATTCTAATTTTTTACTTTAAAAGAAAAATGGGTATCTGGTTAGAACAACCAAGATTATGATAAAAGTAGCCAAAATGGCCTCCTCAGATGATAAAATTTACTCTCTTGGAAAATAATAATCGCTGGAAACAGGACAGAGATAGGAAACATTTCAACATTTACAACAGGAAAATTATTATGAGTAGATGTAATAATAGTTAAAACTTACAGACTAGGTCTTTTCTTCCAGTTTTTTATGGTAGTGAAAATTATGAGTGTGTTTAAGAATAGAGTGCTATTAATATTAACTATAAAAAGTAACTTTTTAAAGTACAGGTCTAATTACGGGAGATGCAGTTTTAAAATTAAATAAAATGATTAGGTTGATTTTGAAGTACCTGTAATTTAGGGAGAAAATTTTTGTGTTTGGGACATTTCACTAGTAATATCTGAATATCTGTATTTTTTTAATCAAGGAAAAATTTAAGTCAAATTAAGCAGCATCAAGTTCCTGATATTGATGTTGTAACATTACCAAGAGAATGCTGATATACTTGGCTTATGACACCAGTTCTGCAAGTGAACTCAAATTATTACAATTCGTCTTATCCTCAACATTATTTGATTTATAAAATTCTTCCAATGGATTCAAAGCATTTGATTCTGCTTAATATCACTGCCAATTAGACTGAAAGTGGCAAAAGAGAAAGGAGGATGTAAAACTGCCAACTCAACTGTCACTTACGGAGTCATCTGTGGCAGAAGTTGGCCAGCCCTCCCATAACTGATGGCGAACAGGGATACTCGTAAGGTCATACACATTTCTCTTTACCTATAAAAAGAAAAAGAACAATTAAAATAGGGTTTCCACATGACTTATGTTAGTTGCCAGTCAATTTATGTGATACACTGTGTTTCCTCTGTTTTCGAGATTCAAAACAAGAATCTGAAACTAGAAAAACACAAATCATAAAAATTTTATTAAAAAATCTAAACCAAATTTAAACCAAGGTTAGATGAAATAATAGTTCAAGAAACAACCCCCCACCCCACCCCGCTGATTATTTTTATGTTCCTGGATGGCTTCAAGTTTCTTTTCAGTCAAGAAACTTCAGGTACACAGTTCATGTAGGACAGACTACATGACCTAATTTATAATTATACATTTTTATAATCTATTTAATTTTAACAATGACTCAAGATATGCAATGGTTCAAATAAAAGATACGTTTCTAGTTTCTAAGTGGGACAGAAAAGGATGTTAGTTTTTTTTCCAAGGGGGTGGAAGGAAAAACCTGAAGCTTCCTTCATTGTTTTATGTACGTTTCAAAGATATAACTTATTAATAAAGCAGCAAAGGGTTATTTCTTTGAAATCATTCCAAATTAGAAACTATTTCAATAGAATATTTATTAGCTGAGAGCCATCCATTAATATGCTATTTAGGCCCTTCCCCAAAAGAAAATATAGTAATGATAGTTTTTATTTTAAATACTGGTAAAGTTAAAAAACTGTTTCTCTCAAAAGTAACATTATACCTTTTAACTTTATTTGTTTGTTTATTTTTGGCCACACCCACGCGGCTGGTGGGATCTTAGTTCCCCAACCAGGGATCGAGCCTGCGCCCACAGCAATGAAAGTGCAGAGTCTTAACCACTGGACTGCCAGGGAATTCCCAATACCTTTTAACTTGAAAAGGAGAAGAGGTAAGTAATTTTTCAGAATAAAGTGTTGGAAGGTTAAACTCTTTTACCCAGTAATTATCATATCTTTCTTTAGACTTTTTTTCTAAATAGATTACAAAAATTCTCTTTCATTCCATATTTACAAATAAAATAAATTATCAAATCGTAAGAATGAAGAGATCATCCACCTTAGCTAACTCTTCAGGCTAGTTTTGGGGCTACCCTGCTGTAACAATGAAGCTAATTTTGAAATGCTGCACATAATAAGTTCTATAATGACTTCAATGTGGAAAACAAGCAGCATTCATTCATGTTTTTAAAATGCAGAAGTCTGAAATATCATGTTGTCCAATTACAGCATTTTGTATCACATTACTGTTTACTATACATAAACACATCTAAGTTACCCTTCCAGTGAAAGAGAGAAATATATTCACTGGGGAAAGAAAGAAACAAAACAAAACCCAGAACTTAATCTATTTTTATCTCTAATGTACACCTGTGAAAAAAGACTTGGTAAATGAGAACTGAGGCGCTTGGGGGCATGGCTTGATCCCCACGCAATTCAAACACACAGCTTTTTTTTCACAGATTCTTAGCAATGGCCAGTCTACCATGCAGTATTTTGTTTATGGTCAGTCACATCAAGTTTGGAAATTTTCATTAGTCATTATCAACCCAACAATTTAACCAAATGCAATCTAACCTCTTACCACTTCCACTAGCTAGGACTATTCTGTCACGCTTAAACATTGGTGCTCTATGGGGAAAGGTGTTCCATACACACAAAATATTATTATTATTGTTTATTAATAAAAAAGTGAGAGGACAGAAGGAGTATGAGGAAATTTGAGGTCTCAAGGCAAAAAATTCCTTTCTTAAAGTTAGTTTTAATTATGTTGTCTAGATAAGCCAAGGGTCAGCAGCTATTTTGAAGGTAGAGGGGAAGGCAGGACAAATATTTACATCTGTTGGAAAGGTGGCAAGGCTACCCTTGCATTGGAGAATATACACAAATACTATGAGTTGAGTATATAAACAAATAACTCTGGAGTGAGATTCTTTAAATTCCACCTTAATTCCAAAACACAACAACACGGTATTATGAAATAAACAGTATTTTTCTTCTTTCATTAACTCATCTGTAACTGCGCTGAATGAATAACATTCCTTTGCTATTCTAAGCCTGAAAAGCATGTTCTGGCTATAGTGTTATGTTGGTATAAAGCACAACGCCAGACTGATGTGCTGAACAAAAGTGATCAAAGTTAGAGTAATGTTAGCCATTGCACAAGTATTTGGCTTCATTGTTCTCCCCAGAATGACATCTGTTAAGCAACTTGTCATAGAATAAACTGGTTAATGCAGAAAGAACTTGGCTGAGAGGGTACAACGTAAACCATATTTGGCTAATGTTTGATTGTTCCGATGGAAAAGCTAAATTCACAGCGTTTCTGAAAGTAAGCCAAAAGAACCTCGTGTTAAACCATAATCACTAAACAACAACATAAGTGAAAACAAATTAGTTTTTCAAAAATAATTCCATGTTTATCAGTGCTGAAACCACAGGCAGATTTTATCATTATATGGAAGAAAGACAAGTGATAAGACAGCAAAAGTACATAATGAATAATGGTCTTATTAACAGAGATTAAAAAATTCTACTGTCTTTATTGATGGTCTTATTTAATTAAAATTTTAAGTGACAATTCTGTAGGGAAGAAAAAAATCAGAAATGTACACAAAGCAAAAGTAAAAATGATTCTTTTAAAAAATTAGTATTCTAGGAAAGCTGAATGACAAAATATAGCTAAGTATAAAATGATGCAGATGAATTTATGGTCATCATGAATCAAATGAAGGACACAGTTTTCTCAGAGAGAGAAGGATGGAGGAACAGAGGAGGGAGAGAAGAAGGACTAAAGGGAAGGGGAGAAAAGGGGGGCCAGGCGAGGGGGAAGGTTGAGAGACTGAGTGATTTGAGAGATTTAAGAGCACTTGAGAGAGGCAGAAAGAACACACATACAGGCTAGGATGCTGTAGCTGGCATGCCCAGCTGCAATTACTGTGCTACTTCTGATGGAGTTTCATCTTTATAGAGATTTGTGTTAAATTCCAGTTAAGGACAAGTGGCACTTCACAGGGTAACATTTCCTAAGGGCCTTTTTGTCTTACATACTTTCTTTGATCAGCATTGGCTCAAGATTATGCTGAATCTTCATAATCTTTTCAATTCTTGTTATGCATTAAGCTCTAAATCTATGAGATTTTAGGCTGCTAAACTATGCAAATGTTGCAATTAGTTCTGAAAAAATTTAATAAATGCTTTGATTACCAGCTGAACATTAAAATTATGTTACAAACTATACTGTATTTGGATTAAGTGTTCTGGATTGACAATAGATTTTCCAGAGCTTATTTTCCAGATTTTCTAAAAGGACAGTTTCACTTCTCCCCCATTGCTTCATATAAGACAGTTGTTTGTGACTAAGAAAAAAATATTTGAATCAGATTACCTTGAAATAGTACATAATTAATGCAGTATTGATTTATTTCCTTATATTTGTTTTCATTGTTAATAAAACAATGTAAGCAATGATCTCCACTTCAAACTTCATATTTCCTCATTGTGGAAATTTCAATGATAAACACAGCACTGGGAAAAAGATCATTTTTTTATGACCCGCTCGAAATAAAATTATATAAGACATTCATCTCCCACAAAATTTTGAGTTCCATAAATTTTCAAACAGTTTTATATTTCAGTTAAATTTTATCAGAATTTCTTAGAAAAAAAATTCTTAGGAAGTTATTCTGCTAAAGGCCGAATTTTGAGGCTCAGATTAGCCTTAAATGAGCTGTCTGTAGCTATTCAAACTGAAAAATATAAAACTTGGTAGATAACTTTGTCAGCTATATTTTATAGCTAAATGTTGTGAGCTAAACGTTGGTCACACTACTGAAAAACATTTTAGGGAATTTTAAATTTCATTCAGGTATTATCCAAGTGAAAGCAGATTCTGATTATAGAAAAGCCACAAAGTTTGAGGTATTGTGGCATAATGAGAGGCAGAGAACTAGATTTCTAGTCCTAATTCTGCTGTTACTGTGGTGCAAGTTGGTGGAACCTGAGACCTAGTTTATTCAATATTCGAAAAGAATAAAACAAGATCACTACTGATTTTCAAAGCTCTAAAATTCTATGATTTTTTGAAAATATTGGAGTTAATCCCAGATACAGGAAAATAAGAGCTAAATATATTTAAGATAAACAAGTAAAGAGGGAAAGTTTAAAACCGTAAGACTAGAAAATGAAAGAAAAATAGTAAAGAGTGACTAATACAACATATCAAAAAGGAAAATTGCCAATAATTTCAGTTAAGAAATACAGATATAATAAACATTTTAAGTGAATTTTTTTTCTTGGATAAAGAAAAGTCTTAGTTTTTGCTTTTAATTACACTGAAAAGTCTAGATTTTTTTTTTTTAAAGAAAAGACTAAATAATACTCTTCTCCCAGGAGATCTCATTTAAAAATAAAACCTGTCATACTGGTTTTCCAAATAACTATTTCATCAACCAAACAGGCTATGGTTTTGCCAGAATACTACAGGCTAAGTGATACAGTTGTAAAGTTCTATTAATTTATTTCAACATCTTTAAAATTTTGAAATCTGGCCTATGACTTTTCACATATCAAATATTTTAATATGGCAAAAAATAGAAACCAAATATTTAATTGCTTAGAAAGTTATCAATTTGTTAGCACTCTAGTTTCTAGATTTTCTGAATTAAGAATACTATGACAGATTACAACCCTTACGAAAAAGCACCCTGAAACTACATATATGTATCTCATTCTCTTATCAGTCTTAGAAGAAAGAGGCCTTTGGTCATATTAGAACCCGAGCTTATCCAAATTTTAGAGTATCAAAATTTGAACTCCAAGTAATTCACACCATCAAATGATGCTCCAGTTAAGAGTTTGCTAAATAATAACTGCACTGAATAAATAAGTATTTGTGAGTGTGTGTGTGTTTTAAACAAGACATACAGACTAGGCTTAGTTCCAGTTTCTTAGCAATCACTGGTGCTCTGAAAGGCTTATAATAGTTAAGAAACCAATCACTTCTGATACAGACTGGGT